TAAGACCAATCTCTGAAATCCTAAAATAGGGCTTTGGGGCTGGACAGATGGCTCAGCTGTTAAGAGCGCTGGCTGCTCTTCCAGAGGACCAGGATTCAAGTTCCAGCACCCAAAGGACACTGCATAACTTTAACTCGATCCCAGGGGATCCAATGCCCTCTTCCGGCCTTTGTTGGTACTGCATACACATGATACACATACATCCAGGCAAGCCCCCCATACACATAATGTGAGGGCTAAAAACTAAGATGCTAAATATGGCTTTTCACTATTTACTGAAAAACTGCAGAGGAAAAAATTTAAAAAGCATAACTAGCCAGGCAGTGGTGGCGCACACCTTTAATCCCAGCACTCAGGAGACAGAGGCAGGTGGATCTCTGTGAGCTCGAGACCAGCCTGGTCTACAAGAGCTAGTTCCAGGACAGGCTCCAAAGCTACAGAGAAACCCTGTCTCTAAAAAAAAAAACAAAGCAAAACAGTCCTTTTCCGAGTCGTCGCCAAGATGGCCGAAGTGGAGCAGAAGAAGAAGCGGACCTTCCGCAAGTTCACCTACCGCGGCGTGGACCTGGCCCAGCTGCTGGACATGTCCTATGAGCCGCTGATGCAGCTCTACAGCGCCAGGCAGAGACGACGCCTCAACCGCAGCCTGCGGCCGAAGCAGCACTAGCTGCTCAAGCGCCTGAGAAAGGCCAAGAAGGAGGCGCCGCCCATGGAGAAGCCCGAGGTGGTGAAGACCCACCTGCAGGACATGATCATCCTGCCCGAGATGGTGGGGAGCATGGTGGGCGTGTACAACGGGCAAGACCTTCAACCAGGTGGAGATCAAGCCGGAGATGATTGGCCACTACCTAGGCGAGTTCTCCATCACCTACAAGCCTGTAAAGCGCGGCAGGCCCGGCATCGGTGCCACCCACTCCTCCCGCTTCATCCCCCTCAAGTAGCTGTGGCCAATAAAGACTCATGTTCAGTCAAAACAAAACAAAACAAACAAAAAAAGCATAACTAGCCATGCCTTCACCCCAGTCAAGGAGTTATACGGATGTTCTTCAATATATAATATGCCCCAGGACTGTCCCTACCTTCCATAAATTACTTATTCTGAGGCCCACAGGAGAAAGATGGCCAACAGTAAGAATATAAATGTATAGAGTATACTTGAATAGATTGCACTTGGGAAGTGGAGCCAGGAGTGACATGGCTGGGTGGAGAGAGGAATGTAAGGTGGAAGGAGACAGGAGGCAGGGGAGTCTGAGGTTTGGTGGAGACAGATGGAGTCTGGAGACGCAGTCTGAGGACAGGATTGCCCCTTCTGTCTGAGCCTTGGTAGAGATAGAAGACCTCGCTAGTGGCTGGCTGCTCTGCTTCTCTGATCTTCAGCATTAACCCCTATATCTGACTCTGGGTTTTATTATTAGAATTCATGCTACAGATTGCATCTTGTGTTTGCATGTATTTTGAAAATGCATGTGTGTTTTGTGTTGTAAGGTATATGTATTATATGCATACACATTAGGTTCCTCCCCACCCCCAGAGCTGCTAGAACTCAGGGCATTTGCACATTGCTGGGTAGACACTTTACTTCTGAGGTGCAAACCTAGTCAGGAAAAGATTTAAGTAATTTTTTTGAGGATTGGGGTGAGACAGGGTTTCTCTGCGTAGCCCTGGCTATTCTGGAACTCAGAGATCCACATGCCCCTGCCTCCCAAGTGCTGGGGTTAAAGGCATGCACCACCACTGCCAAGCTAAATACATGTTTTTAAAACAAGGAGAGTCACAGTTAGCAAGGGGACCAGCACTCTGAGGCAGATTAGCATTTGTTCCCCAGGAGGGAAAGAAAGGCCACAGAAGGACAACTTCCCTCAGAATCCTACAAGCTGCGTTTTCAGTTCCTAGGCACAGAATCCACAGACCTGACCTCGCATGAGCTTAACAGCCTGCTGGAACCAAAGCCCGACACAAAGGGCTGGGGACACTGGACATCACCAAGGTGAACCACAAGCAGGACCGCTGCTCCCCCCTTTACAGCCCTTGTCCCAGCTCCCCTGGCCCACGCCACTTACCTTACCTTCGCTGCAGACCAGAGCTCATTCTAGCTTGCCTCCTGTCCTCTTTGACAGTTGACAAAAATGCTCTTTGTGGAGAAACTAAGAGTCTTGATTTGGGCTTCTGTGTGTCCGGCATAGCAGGCTCAGTAACAGTTCTGGGACTGGGGGTGGGGGTGGCTCAGCCTGTGAGACACTTCCTGAGGTGACAGGCCCGCTCACGTTCCCAGCCCCCGTCCTCCATGGTTTTTCAAGACACCAACTTTTATTGTATGGCTTTGGGAATTGAGCCCAGGGCTCTGTGTGCCATAGTTGAGTGTGCTGCCAGCGAAGTTCATGCCAAGCCCTTGGATTTTTTGAGTGGGGGGTCTTACTATGTAGTCTAAATTGGCCTGGAACTCCTGACCCACCCTCTGCTTGCTCTGCCTCTCAAGCGCTGGGACTATAGATGCACACCACCGTGCCCTGCCAAGTTTTCACTTATGGAACAGGAAATGGATTCCCGGCATGACCTCTGTGGCCCTCACGCCTTCCCCCTCCTCTCTGCTCCTGTGTTCCAGGCACACGGATGGACTCCCAGATGAACCTGTCTCCCCAACCCCATGGCCTTGCACAGACCTCAGACACCCTTAGCTGTCTGTCTGTCATTCCCTACCTAATCTATCCCTGAACCCAGACTTCCGACTTCTCTGTAGGTGTCTCAGATACCCCACTCCACCTTCCCTCAGGCAAAAGAAGTCTGACTATTCTTTGCCCCTACCCATTACAGGATGGAGACTTTAAGAACTTTTGTTTCAAAACAAAAAACAAAAAAAAAAAACCTTGCTTAATAAACATTCAGATCTGTCATCTCACCCAGATAAAAGAGGTGAGTGGATGCGAGATGGGTCTCTGTTGCTCATACCGGCCACAGAAACCCCTGGGCTTCCGGAATCCTCTGCCGCAGCCCGCAGCCTCCAGAGTAGCTGGGATTGTAGCTGTTCTTAACCAAACACAGTTTCCAGTCTATTTTTGTTTTTATGAGGCAGGGTCTTACTATGTTGCCCGGGTTGGACTTGAACCCCCGTTCTACTGGTCACCTTTATCATTATGACTAATACGCAAAACAGGAGAAAAGACCTCCGCACCTGGTTTCAGCCTGCATCTCTTGCTCCAGTCGCTGCTGGCCTGCAGTGGGGCAGTGTTACACAGAAGAGCGTGCCCAAGAGCTCAGCTTACCTCATGGCAGCAGGGAGCAGAGAGAGGAAGCCTAGGCACCCAGGGTCCTTGTGTCTTCCAAGGGCACGCATCTAAAGGTTCCTAACCCTCCCCAGGTGCCAAAAGCTGGGACCTAGGTGCCTCGAGCTCTTAAAGTGACCACAACTGTGCCACATTCAGACACGCCCACTCAGAGTCAAACAGCTGCACCTGGGCTCAGGCAAGTGCCTGGCCTCAGCTTCTCATGTACATGGGACTATAGGTGTGTGTAGTAACGAGGAACGGCGGTAGGCCCTGTCCTGCCACCCGCTAGTTTAACCCCCGAAATAACCACACGGAAATTGTATTAATTAAATCACTGCCTGGCCCATTATTTCTAGCCTCTTCTCGGCTAACTCTCACATCTTGATTCAACCCATTTCTAATAATCTGTATGTCACCCTGAGGTCATGGCTTACCAGGAAAGATTCAGCACGTCTGACCTGGCGGCTGGCTCCATGGCGGCTCTCTCTGGCTGCCTTCTTCCTCCCAGCATGCAGTTCTGTCTTCCCCGCCTATCTAAGTTTCTGCCCTATCAAAAGGCCTAGGCAGTTTTTTTTATTCAACCAATGAAAGCAACACATAGAAAGAAGACCCTCCTACACCAGGTGTGCGGCATCAGACCTGTCCCAAATGGCTGGTTTTAAAGCCTCTTTTTTTCCCATTATTCTTAAAGATTTTTATTGTTTTTAGCCATGTGTCTGTATCCATGCACGTGTGTGCAGGTGCCCTCAGAGAGCAGAGACTTCAGATCCCCCAGAGGGGCAGTTACAGGTGGCTGTGAGGGGCCTGAGTTAGGTCTGGGGACTGAACGCAGGTCCCAGCAGCAAGCATTCTCAACTGCTGAGATTTGACTTTTAGAGTGACGGAGAAAGCTGAACTCCCTTCTGTCTTTCTCTACCACACAGTCTGTCCTGTCATTATTCTGCATCTGTGGAGGACGTTACAATTGACGGACCAACACTGACGCTCCTTCCTGCCTGCCTTTCTTTGTTTCTTCCTTTCCTTCATTTTAATTATTGATTAATTGATCTTTTTAAGACTTCTCTGTGTAGCCCTGGCTGTCCTAGAACTCACTCTATAGACCAGGCTGGCTCTAACTCATAAATCCGCCTGCCTCTGCCTCCTAAGTGCTGGGATTGAAGGTGTGCAGTACCACTGCCCAGCCTTCCTTTATTTTTAGACAGGGTCTCATGTGGCTCCATCTGGCTTTAAACTCACTACGTTTCTGAGCACGCCACCACACCTGGATTATGCCGAGCCAGGGACTGAACCCAGGACTTCAGGAATTCTACCAGCTGAGCCATACCACCAGCTCATACTAAACATTATTAACTAAAGTCCAGAGCTTAGGGCTGGAGAGATGGCTCAGAGGTTAAGAGCATTGCCTGCTCTTCCAAAGGTCTTGAGTTCAATTCCCAGCAACCACATGGTGGCTCACAACCATCTGTGATGAGGTCTGGTGCCCTCTTCTGGCCTGCAGGCATACACCCAGACAGAATATTGTATACATAATAAATAAATAAAATATAAAAACAAATAAAAAGAAAAGAAGTACATGAGAAAAGTTCTCCTAAAATAGTCCAGAGCTTACATCAGGGCTCACGGTACCGTATGGGTTTTGAGCACTGTTCAATGGCATGTATCCACTATTACCAGAAAGGACAGCTTCATTGTCCCAACAGTGCCCTAAATGCCAACTACTAACCCTCCTCTCCATCCTCCCACGGAGCCCCAGTGACTGCTGGTCTCTATGCTGTCCACCGGTTAACCTTTTCCAGACACCACATTCTTTTACGCACCTGCACATTTGAAGAGTTAAAACAGCGCATCATTTCATTAAGAGTTCTTTCTCCCAGCCGGGCAGTGGTGGCGCACACCTTTAATCCCAGCGCTTGGGAAGCAGAGGCAGGTGGATCTCTGAGTTCAAGGCAGCCTGGTCTACAGAGAGTTCTAGGACAGCGAGGGACAGTTAGAAACCCTAACACCTCTTTCTTCCACCGTTTCCCTAGTCCCATGGGCTCTCACTCCAAGGACACCACTTCTATTAGTTTCTGAGCCTTCATCTGGCTTTTATTTATACAAACATGTGCAATTAAAAATTCACTTTCATTTCTCAAACAAGAGCACAGTTACACATTGATTTTTTTCCATTTAATTGATCTTGGAGTTCTTTCCATAACAAGACTTGTGCTGCCCCTTTCCGCTGCTGTTGTCCTGCTCCATATGCAGACAAACCAGGTTTTATTTTAGAAATCTCCGGGAGACAGTCAGTTGTTTGTCCAGAAAAAAAGAAATGGGGGTGTGTGTCCCGAGCCTCAGTACTTGGGAGGCAGAAGGAAAACGATCTCTGTGAGTTTGAGGCCAGCCTGGTCTCTGCAGAGAGTTCCAGGACAGCCTGGTTTTCACGGTGAGACCCTGTCTACAACTAAACCACTAACGTTACAGGAAGAACAGGCTAGAAATGGAAGGTTAGTGGGTTGGTGGCTAAAGCAACCTTGCGGGGAGGTGGCAGGAAAGGCTCAGAACAGCTGCAGGAGGTGACAATGACCAACCTGCTCCACCTGCGACATTGCAGCTTTCGGATATTGGCCTTTAGTCTGGCCTGGGCTCCAGACAACCTGAGACCAGGACCTCCCACCCCCAGCCCCATCTCAGTCACAGCCCCTAACTGGAGAAGTGGAAATGGCAAGTGACAAGGCAAAACCAGGGGCAATCTCCTCCGTGGTACTGCCACAAAGAAAAACAAGACCATCGTTCACTATTATTATTTCAGTAGTTAAAACTGGATAAAATAGACCTGGTGGCAGTGATGCATGCAAGCCTTTAGTCCCTGCACTCTGGAGGCAGAGGCAGGTGGATCTCTGTGAGTTCGAGACCAGCCTGGTCTACAGAGTGAGTTCCAGGACAGTTAGGGCTGCACAGAGAAACCCTCTTGAAAAATTGAGGAAAAAAGAGAAGAAAATTCAGTTCCTCAGCCTCGCCCACTGCACAGTCTCAGTGGCCACCGTGGCCAGCGGGGCCGTCCTGGATGGGCAGCTCCCAGCATCCCTGTCAATGCAGCATGTTCTACCTCTCGCGCGACTATTAAAGACGAAGTGAGAGGCTGAGAGACGGCACAACAGTGAAGGGTGCTTTGTTGCTCTTGTAGAGAATCGGGGTTCAGTTCCCAGGACCCACACTGTGGCTTGTGACCTCTGTCACTCCAGTTTCGGGGAATCCGATGCCTCTTCTGGCCTCCTCGGGCACCAGGCGCAGATGTGGTGTTTCGTACGTACAAGCGGGCAAAACGTACACATAAAATAAAAATTTAAATCTGAAAAGAAAAGCTTTTAAGAGAGGGAAGGGGAGTCTAGCAAGATGGCTCTGTGGGTGAAAGTGTTGGCCATCAAGTCTCATGGCCCAAGTTCAAGCCCAGGACCCACAAGGTGGAGGGAGAGGATTGACTGGCAGGCTGCCCTCTGCCCTCCCTCCTATTGACACACACACAGTAAGTAGGTAGATGCGGCAGGGGGCAGGCTTGGTGGTGTGCATCTTGCAATCCCAGTATTGGGGAGGCTGAGGTGGGAGGATCTCAAGCCTGAGGCCAGCTTGGGCTTCCAGAGAGACTTTACCTAAAACAAAAACAATACTGAAGGGTTGACTCAGTGGACTAGCAAATGTGAGACCCTGCCTTCGATTTCCAGAGCACCAGAGAAGCACAACAGAGTGATAACTAAAATGTCTAAATGTGCTCTGTGACCCAGGGCCAGATAGTAATCCAGGAGGGGGCAAAATATTGACAAAACTTGAACGTGGTCTGAGATTAAAGAATAGTTTGTAAGCACTGTTAGTTTCCTAATTTTTTCAGAAAGATTTCTTGTATATGAGTGTTTGCCTGAACACACGTCACACAGAGTCAAACATGCACACACACACACACACACACACACACAGAGGCACGCACGCACACACCACATACAGGCAGTAATGCTGGAGGCCAGCAGAGGGCGCCAGATCACCTGGAGTCAGAGTTAGAGACAGCTATGAGCTGCCACGTGGGTGCTGGGAACAGAGCAAGCAGGGTTCTGTGCAAGAGCAAGGGTTCTCAGCCACTGAGCCATCTCTCCAGCCTCTAACTTCCTGATTTCACAAAACCACACTGTAGTTGTGTAAGACTTAACATTTACAGGAGCTTCATGCAGAAAACTTGAACATTCTCAGCACTGTTTTGCAACTTTTGCTAAGTCTGAAATGATTAAGAGATAAAAAAGATTTTTAAAAAATTTTAAAATTATATATCCAATTATTCACTTGGAGGGAAGGAAAGGAGAGTACATGCCTCCCGGACTGTCAACACATACAAACGGACTTTATAATACAGCCGTGGGATCAGCATGGCCGCTTCTGTCTGTTTGGCACTAGAGATTAATGTGTTGTCCTGAACGGCTTAAGGACAGTCTGGTTTGGAGGTGATGAATGCAGCCCTTCCTGCAGGCTGGGTTGGAGGAAAGCTGGATGGATGCCATTTGATTTGTGGTATGACCTGGACAAGCTGCTTCTCCTCCCTGGACCTTGGAGCCCTAGTGTAAAGACACCCTTGCACCTCCAGAGGACGCTTTGTGATGTTCTAGGCTAACGAAGAGACAGTGAGAGGCCTGGGGATAAGGCTGTCTGTACACTTGCCATGCAATGTGAGGACCTGAGTTCAACCCTCAGAACCCACATAAAAACCAGGGCAGGGGCACATGCTTGGACATCCAGGAGGATCACAGGGCTCACTGGCCAGCCTGTTTAAGTAGGACAATGAGAGGCCCTGTCTCAAAACACACAGGCTGTTCAAAGTAAAGGTCGATCCAGGACTCCCCAGGAATATTGAGAGAGTCTCTGTCTCAAAACAAAAAACCATGAGATGGATCCTCTTCCATACCGTGGTCCCGCACCATTCCCACAGCTCACATGGCTGTGCACCTCCTGGGGGCCCTGGGCTCTCCGTTTGCCATCTTCCTGGTGCTTTCTGTGGAAAACAAGACTCCTGTTGCTTGAGATGCATCAGCTCTGCGCCCCCCCCCCAGGGTTGGTTTGTGTCCTAATTCCCTGTGGGGCTTTGAGCTAGGGAAGACACAATTGCTGTTCTTCAGAACACTGGGGAGGGCTCAGTGCTTAAGAGCACTTGTTGCTCTTCCAGAGGACCGGAGTTCTGTTCTCAACCCTGGCATAGTGGCTCATAACTGCCCCTTCCCAGTGATCCAACATCTTCTGATACACATGCAAGCAAAACACTCAGACACAGATGAAATAAATATATAAACATTTTAAAAAGAATATTGGGGGGGGCAGATGTGGTGTACAAGCCTTTAATCCCAGCACTGTGAGGGAGAGGCCGGGGGGGGGGGGGGATCTCTGTGAGTTTAAGGCCAGCTTGGTCAACAGAACAAATTCCAGGCCAGACAAGACTACATAATGAGACTCTGGCTCAAAAAAGCAAAGAACCCCAAAACAACAACAACAAAAATAACAATAAAAAACTTGAGTTGGGCCAGGTGGTGGGGGCACACACCTTTAATCTCAGCACTCGGGAGGCAGAGGCAGGCGGATCTCTGTGAGTTCGAGGCCAGCCTGGTCTACAAGAGCTAGTTCCAGGACAGGAACCAAAAAGCTACTGAGAAACCCTGTCTCGAAAAAAACAAAAAAAAAAAAAAAAAAAAAAAAAAAAAAAACCCAAAAAACTTGAGTTGGGTGGTGGTGGTGCACACCTTTTAATCCCAGCACTCAGGAAGCAGAGGCAGGTGGATCTCTGTGAGTTCAAGGCCAGCCTGGTCTACAAAGTTAGATATAGGACAGCCAGGACTGCTACACTGAGAAACTCTGTCTCAAAAAAACAAAACAAAACAACAATAAAAAAGGTAACATCTTATTTTACCATTTATGTAAGTACCTGAGGGCAATAATAAAACAATCTTACAAGCTTGAATGTTTTCCCAAGCACTAACGTGGATTACTTGGAGACAGGGTCTCTCTACAAAGCCTTAGCTGACCTAAAGCTTGCTATGCAGAGCAGACTAGCCTGGAACCAGCAGTGTGCCTCCTGCCTCTGCCTCCTGAGTGCTGGAATTAAAACCTAGATGTTTTGGTTGTGGTGGTTGTTTAAAGAGTATTTTGGAAAATGAGGTTGAGGATAGAGCTCAGCTGGTGAAATACCTGCCTGGCATACACCAAACCCTGAGATCTTCCCCCAGTGACATATGAAATGGGATGTGCTGTCTGTAACTCACCTCTAATGCCAGCCCTTGAGAGGCAGAGGCAGGATGGTCACAAAAGTCATTCTGAGCTAAAGATTGAGTTTGAGGCTAGCTTGTGCTACATGAGACAAAGTCTCAAAAAAAAAAAAAGTTCTTGGAAAGCAGAAATAACTATTCCCTAATCCCTCCACCCTGAAATGCCTGCACTCCTCACGTGGCCTAGAGGAGGTGTGGGACAGCCACCATGCAAGAGCTATTTTTCCTCTTGCTTCACAGCTAAGGCAACCTTCGTGGCTGCCAGTAACTGCCTACTAGCCCATACGGCGGCTGCCCTATGCTGCCCATGTTGAGGGACACTCCATTACTTAAGGCTTTTTCATCAGCCAGCTTGGCTTTAATGAGGGATTAGTTCCACAGCTTCTGGTCCTGCTTGTTTGAAAGTCCCAAGTCACTATGGGAATCTCAAATTAAGTTTTGGGGAGTGGTATGGTTAAGTACCTTATGCTGGCCTCAGAAGGCTCAACTCAGTTTAAGCCAGTCTGTGGCTCTTCTCCCCTAATGAAAAAGAATTCCTAAGGCTGTTTATGGCCTTATTCCGAACTAGAAGGCAGAGACAGTTGGGGAGGTAAAGATTATAGTATCATTGGTGACTTCGGTGGTTGTTAAGGGCACGGGGTTCACTGGCGATATTACTCAAAGACATGACGGGTAAGGAGGCCTTAGTTTGCCCCAGACTAGTCCCACAGAGGTCTGACCTGAGCGGTCCTTCAAGGGCCCAAGCATTCTGGCCAGGGCTCACTTACCAGCCAGGCCTCTCCTGCCGATGGCCACAAGGCCCTCAAACAGTTCTTTGCTGGGGTTCTTCCCAGCTATGGCCACACCATGTAGCCAGATGAGGAGCATCCGGTGACCATGCTCCTGGTAGCTCCTGGTTCCTGCAGATGATGAGAGTAGAGGCCAGCATGGCACCTTCCCAGAGCATGTATATGCTGCCCTCTACTGCATCCTAAATGCACCCAGCGGGAGAGAGGCCTTTCTCTGCTCTAGGCAGCCTGAGGTGGAGAGGTCAGGGTCACAGTACACACAGCTTCTCAGATCGGGGTGGGCAGGTGATTGGTGTCTCAGGTCAAAGAACTTCCACAGCCTCAGGTTCTCTCTGAGGCATCTACCTGCCTACTCTAAAAAATGGCTCATGTTAGCCAGGCAGGGGTGGCACATGCTTTTAATCCCTGCACTTGGGAGGCAGAGGCAGGCAGATCTCTGTGAGGCCAGCCTGGTCTACAAAGTGAGTTCCAGGACAGCTAGGAATGTTATACAGAGAAACCCTTTCAAGAAAAATTTTTAAAAAAATGCTTATGTCTTCAAGGTACTGGGTTACCCAATTATATGCTTCCTTTCTAACAGTCTACACCTCGGGCACATGTTGGGTCTAACATACAGATTAGATCTAACATAAAAAGCAGCCTAGTAAGAGGCAGCTGGCCGTCTTTGTGCCCCGGCACTGGTTTATGGTTTTCAGCCTTAGATGCTCTCTAGAAAGCTCTAAAAATTCTACCTACTTTTGACCATCCATTGACAATGCATATGTTTGTATCTTCTGGGCTTCCTCATGTATAGGAATCACAGCATTTGAAATGAAGAATTTACTCTTTCCTTTTCCAGTAGTTACGTTTCTCTCTCTGTCTCTTTCTGTCTCTATCTCTGTATCTGTGTGTGTGTGAGTGTTTATGCTGCATGGGTGTGTGATGCATATGAGTGAGTGTGTGTACATATGGTGTGAGCACCTGTGCCCTTGCATGTGGAGGCCAAAGTTGAGCATCGCGTGTCCTTCTCTGTCACTCTTCCTCCTACTCGCGTGAATCAGGTCTCACTGAAGCTGAAGTGTGCTGTGCTGTGTTGTGCTGTGCTAGGTTGGCTGGCTAACAAGCCCTAATGATCCTTCTTTATCTACACATCTGCTACCCCCAGCACTGAGGTTAAAGATGCACGGAGCCATGCCCAGCTTTTATGTGAGTGCTGTGGATCTGAACTCGGGTCCTCACATTTGCACACCGAATGCTCTCACCCACTGAGTCGTTGCCCTGACGTGATATTCTTTTTGTCTATTTCTTTTTCATGCCTTTGTACCAGGGTCTAGATGTCTCAACTGATTTTAAATAAGACTGTCAACAGTGGCCTCTCTTTTTCCCAACAGGGAACAGCGTTAGCTGAGTGCATAAGCCATGGGTATGGAACCCAGGGGTATGGGTTCCAGCTGATTCTGCAAAATTTAAGGTCATGGGGGGGAGTAGAATAGGGACGCACAGCCTGTGCAAGAAGCCGGGAGTGCTTTGGAAGTAGCGTGGGCTGTGGGCTGCACGAGCTTCTGAACTCTCAGAGCTCGTCTCACATGCCCCCACCCCTGGCTGCCCTGGTAGAGGGCAGGGTAAGGCGGTACCGATCCACTGCTGCTCAATGGCGCAGACGTGAGCCTCCGTGAACTCCCAGGAATATGCCAGTTTCCTCCACTCGTTGGGCCTCAGACCCCGAGAGGCCAGTCGCCAAAGCACAGAGCGGAGCTGCTGTGTGTCCTGCCGGTGGTCTTGTTTAAAGGTCAGGTTCTTCCTAGCGGGGTCGCTGGTGTCCCTGCATGAAAGGTGGTCCTGTGGGGGCAGATCCCAAAAGTGCAGGAGCCGTCTGGGGCCTGCCTCATGATCTTAACACAGGTGATAGAGCCCGAGAACCCGAATCAGCATGGGCCTCAGGCTTCATGTCTGCCACCCTGTGTGTGTCTTGCCTTGACCACTGGATCCCACACTGTTCCTCCCTCTGGAACTCACCTCCTTGACTTTTAACCCGATGCCATAGTCAAAAGAGCACTACCATGGCACCTCTTCCACAAAGCCTCCGACCAGAGACCCCCCCAGTTCTCACCCCACTTCTCTGTCACCCATGAAATTTATGTATCCAAACCAATTCACTCCTTGGCCAAGATCTCACCAGCACAGAACTGAGGCTGCCTCCTTTCAACATGTCTGGCTGCTTGCCCATCTCCAGGTCCTCTATCTGAGCAGTACCCAAGGCAGAGATGAGCACCCACTTAGAGACAGGGCCCCAGAATTGGTTGAGGCTCCACACACAGTCAAGGCTTTCCAACAGGAGATGAATGGAGGTGTTACCTTCTCCCATCTGTAGAAGCGATCAGCTTTTATGATCATGTCCACCAGACCAACGTGGTTGCTGCGGGCGGCCACTGCCAGGGCCGTTTTTCCTTGCTGCAAAGAAGAGGCAGAGAAGCTGGAGCTCCTGCAGGGCAGTGCAGGGCAACCTCTAGACTTACTATTATTCCAGCAACGATTTCCAGCTTCATTAGGACCAACTGTGCCCAGAGCTGGTCTGGAGAAATGGCTCAGAGGTTGAGAGCCCTTGCCATTCTACCATGAGGACTAGTTTGGATCCTGGCACCCACACTGGGTGGTTCACAACTACCTGCAACTCCACCTCTTCCGATTACCAATAATCTGCACACACACTCTTCTGGCCTCTGTGGATATATACACTCACACAAGCATAGGCATATACAAACCTAGAGCAGTGGTTCTCAGCCTTCCTATTGCTGTGACCCTTTAATTCAGTTCCTTGTGTTGTGGTGACACCCAACCATACATTGTTACTTCATAAGTTTAATTTTGCTATTGTCATGGATCATAACATAAATATCTGACCCAAAGGGGTCGCGACCCACAGGTTGAGAGCCACTGGCCTAGGGTCTATGAAGCCAAGCAGCCTTCATTCCCTCTTCAACCCCACAACGACATGATGTCCCCACTCTCGTTTCTCAGATGAAGAAATCAGAGCCTGGAGTTGACTTGGGCCATCCTGCCATACCTGCCTACCAATCCCCAGGCACCAGACCCGTTGCTCCAGGCCTCCCACACGGCCAATCACCTGCAGGGGTCTGCAGAGATGTGGGAAGCTGCTCTTTAGATGTAGCCAGTTTCCTGGGTTCAGCTCAAAGCCGTGAGTTCCGCCCAAGGCTGACTTCAGCCTCACCCCACCCCGTGGCCTCCAGCCATCTAAGGAAGGGGCCACCCTGAGTCACCCTGAATTCTGTTGCATGACCAGGGAGGTGTTAGGCAGTGTGATACTGGCTGATCCTGCTACCTCTGACACCCACCCATGTGACTTACAGAACTAACAGTCTGGTGGGCGAGGGGTGACACAGAAATCAACCACAGCCCCAGCAGACCGTAGGGCCACAGTTGAGGCCTCAGAGGAACAACAGTGTTGTGGAGACAGATTTTTGAGTTACACAGGAGGTCCTGAGCCTATGAGAGCAGGGACAAGGAATTGGTAGCAGTGTCTTTGACCCCGAGGGAGCAGTGGAAGCCTGACAGAGGGGCTGCCTAGAGCAGAGGTACCTTATCTCGCAGGCTTAAGTCAACTCCAGCCACGAGGAGCATCTCAGCCACATCCTGCCAGGCATGCTCGGCAGCGAGGTGGAGGGGAGTCTGCTGCCTCTGGAGAGAAGACAGGGGGGAGGTGAAGCATGCAGAAAGCATATGGGAGTCATGCATGGTGGTGCATGCTTTAATCCCAGTACTCAGGAGCTCTGTGAGTGCAATCCCAACCTGGTCTATATAGTGGTTCCAGAATAGCCAGGACGGGGGCTGGAGAGATGGCTCAGTGGTTAAGAGCATTGCCTGCTCTTCCAAAGGTCTTGAGTTCAATTCCCAGCAACCACATGGTGGCTCACAACCATCTGTAGTGACGTCTGGTGCCCTCTTCTGGTCGGCAGACATACACACAGACAGAATATTGTATACATAATAAATAAATAAATAAATAAATAAATAGAAAACAGAATAGCCAGGACTACTACACAGAGACCCTGTCTAGGAAAAAAAATACAATAAAACAAACAGGGACTGGAGAGATGGTGTGGTGCTTAAGAGCATTTGCTGCTCTTCCAGAGGTCCTGAGTTCAATTCCCGGCAAACACATGGTGGCTCATAACCATCCATAATGAGAGCTGGTGCGCTCTTCTGGCCTACAGACATGCATGCAGGCAGAACACTGTATACATGACAGATAGATAGATAGATAGATAGATAGATAGATAGATAGATAGATAGATAGATAGATAGGAAGAGCAGGCACCGTTTTTGCAGAAGATCCTACTTGAGTTCCCAGCACCCACAATGCATAGCACACAGTTGCCTGTACCCCCAGCTCCAGGAGATCTGATGCCCCCCATGGCCTCCCAGAGCCCCTGCACACACATAGCATACACACACAGGTAGCATATAGTCACACAGATACTCACATGTACACACACACATACACACACAAATTTTAAAAACCAACAACGTTGGGAAGCTTAAAAGCTAGGCCATGCTGAGAGACCCCTGGGTCTGAGAGGTTTCCGCAGTCACTTACAATGTCTGTGGCATCCAGATCACTGTGGGCATCTATGAGGAGCTGGACCAGGCCAGGGAAGTTGTGCCTCACAGCAAGGTGTAGAGGAACAGTGCCCTGCTATGGAGAGACATGGAGATTAATCAGTAAGTCTCTCCCAGGACTGCAGATTGGAGGTGGGGTGGGATTAACGTGGCCATTGTAGTCTCTCAAACAATATAGGTGACGTGAGGCAGGCACAGCCACAATGCCTGAAACTGGAGGCCTAAAACTGATCCACAGGAGGGTAGTAGTCTTCCTTCATGCTGGGCTAGAGGCCCTGCTGTGCCAGCCTTGGGTATATGTACACGGCACATTTAAAAGATTTAAAAGAGAAATGTATATTTTTGAAATACATATCTCCTTCTTTATATCATGATTTCATATATATATGAAAGCAGGCTTAGTAAGGTCAAAACCGTTTGCAAGTGGTAGATAGTACCAAGGCCTCAGGGCCAGGTTCTCTCTCTCTCTCTCTCTCTCTCTCTCACCCACCCACACCCACCCATGCACACACAGGTTCCTTTATTTATTTATTTATTTATTTATTTATTTATTTATTTATTTATTTATTTATTTATTTATTTATGTCTTTTCAAGACAGGGTTTCTTTGTGCAGCCTTGACTGTCCTGAAATGCACTCTGTAGACCAGACTAATAGCTTTGAACTCACAGAGATCCACCTGACTCTGCTTCCTGAGAGCTGGGATTAAAGGTGTGCGCCACCACCATGCAGCAACACACAGGTTTGTTATTTCTCTTTTTCTGTTTCTGTCTCTCTCTCTCTCTCTCTCTCTCTCTCTCTCTCTCTCTCTCTCTCTCTCTCTCACACACACACACACCCACTCTTTCTCTCTTTCTCTCTCTCTCTCTCTCTCTCTCTCTCTCTCTCTCTCTCTCTCTCTCTCTCTCTCTCACACACACACACACACACTTTTTATTTCTTTCTCTCTGTGTGCCTCTCTCTGTCTCTCTCCATTTCCTGTCTCTGTCTCTCCCCAACCTCTGCCCCCAGAGCAAACCAATTTATTTAGCAAAACTGAGAAGACTCAAGATAGGTAGGATCTGGGGTTTCTGATAACAATATCTATCCTGACCACAGGATTACACAGCCCCTGAAGGTTTCTAATAGGGAAAGGGTGAACACCTGGGCTGGAGAGATGGCTCAGCTGGTATTCACCATGCAAGCCTGAGGACCTGACTTCAGATCCCAGCACCCACATAAAAAGTCACAGGTGGCAGGACACACCTGTGACCACAGGGCTAAGGAGCACAGTCAGAAATATTTTTGCTGACTCAAAAAATAATATGGGGAGTGATTGAGGAAGACCTCTAATGTTGACCTCTGGCCTCTATACACGCGCGCACACAAGCACACACTCATGCACATATACACACTCACACACATGCATGCACACACACGTACACACACACTCACACGCACATACACGCACACACACGCACACATACACACACACACAAACACCAGAAAGACAGAGAATATAATTAAGTGGTCAGTGGCTGGACTGGCAAACTTTAAAGATTGCCAGGTGCAGGCAGTTCAGCTGGGAGGATGGCCAAGCTCGGTTTCAACACTGTCTCTGACAAAGCGTCAGAAATGAAATGCCACTATTATTATCCCCTGCCCCAACCACAAGGGACAGGAAGAGCCTAGTTCTCCCTTCTGTGTTTAATATAATCACGGGAGACTCAGTGGGGATCCCTTCAACCCAGGCCCAACACTTACCCTGTCAGCCACGTTTGTGCACCCGCCTGCCTTGATGAGTGCCCAGGACAGATCCTCAGAGCCACCAAGGGCTGCATAGTGGAGGCAGCTCAGCTTTTTCTGGAGAGAAACAGGCATCAGGGCGCTATTCCAAGGATCTCTCATGTGACAGGCACCGAGATTCATATTCCACTCGAGTCTCATGGCCGGAGTCGTTGGTGACTGGCCCAGGCCTGTGGCCTTTACTACACAGCTAAACTGTGGAGAGGCCAAGACCAGAACCCAGGGTGACCGCTTTAAAGCCTCTATTCACCAATCTCGGAGGGCTGGCTACCTGGGTGAGGGCATTGACGTTGCTCCCGGCACTGAGGAGTAGCCTCACACAGTCCGTGTGGATCCCTTCAGCAGCTGCATGCAAAGCGGTCAGACCCTCCTGAAACACACAGGGAAGGGAATGGAGTCTGGGGAAGCAGAAGCCAGACCTGGAGTTAAGGGCACACACCTATCTCTGTCCCCTTGAGCTCTCAGCCACCTACAAGTGAGGAATGCGCATGACCTGCTGACCTCATCATCGCCTCTACCCATGTTCTCCTTGCCCTCTGACCCACTTCGCCCTCACTAGTCTAGTCCCTCCTATGTCAGAAAGCCGCCCCGACCATCCGGGCAGTGGCGACTTCTCATAGCTTGTTGGTTTATTTGGTGTGTGCATATGTTTTTTGAGACAAGGTTTCTCTGTGCAGCCCTAGCTGTCCTAGAACTCACTCTGTAGACCAGGCTGGCCTTGAACTCATAGAGATTCACCTGCCTCTGCCTCCCAAGTACTGGGATTAATGGCGTGCACCACCACTGCCTGCTCATGTTTTGACAATCCTATCTGGCTCCCTGCTCAGCCAGGTCCCTGGGACAGCAGCTCACTTCCTCCTGGTGGGTGTCAGTGTGAGAACATGCCCTGCCCCAGGTCTCTGCCAAGACAAAGGACACGGCCCCCAGGCTGGGGGTTCCCCAAAGACAGAGCCAGCAAGCACCTCCTCTGTCTGCATCCCCAGCTGATGACTCACTGTGTTCTGCTCCTCCAGGTCTAGTCCAATGTCCACAAGTCTCTGTAGCACAGCTGTGTGGCCCCGGCTGGCAGCCAGGTGCAGAGCCGTGTTCCCCTCCTGCAGGAAGAAGACAGATGACAGAGTCCCCAGATTCAGTATGTCACAGAACCCCCACTGGAGCTGCCCCCCTCATTTCACAGATACAGAGGTTAAGGCCCAGAGCAACATGTCCAGGGTTACACACAGTCTGACGAGGTCATGCCTGTCACCACCAAAAGCCACAACCAGGCATAAGTCCCGCACATACTCTTGCTCCTTATGATTCAAGGCAGTTGCATTATTTTAAAAACAAAATAAGGGCTGGGAATGTACATCCGTTTGTAGAGTGATTACCCAGCATGCACAGAGCTTGTTCAGTCCCCAGGACTATAAAAATCAGGCATGGCAGTACCACTAGAAAGTCAGTGCTTGGGAGCTGGGGGCAAGAGGATGATGGTCCCAGATAATTTTCTGATACATACTGAGCTTGCAGCCAGCCTGGACTATATGAGACTGTGTTAAAGAAAGAAGGGGGTGGAGGAGAGAAGCAGGGAGGGGAGCAAAGAAAAATGTAGAGCTCAATAAAAATCAATTAAAAAAAGAAAGAAAGAAAGGGGTGGGGTGGAGAGAAAGAGAGAAAAAGAGAAGAAATTTCATCTTGGACATCTCACACCTCACCAGCCGGCCCTTGTGCCCACTGGAAGAACATCAGACACACGACACATTCTGGCCTTCGGGAGCCTTTCCCCCAAGCAGAACTTGGGTCAGAAGTAGGCTCTATGACGCTGGAGAGATGGCTCAGTGGTTAAGAGCACTTGCTCTTCCAGAGGACCTGGGTTCAATTCCCAGCACCTACATGGTGGCTCACAACCATCTGACACCCTCTTCTGACCTCAGGAAAAACATTCATGCACATAAAAGAAATCTGGGGGGCTGGAGAGATGGCTCAGAGGTTAAGAGCACTGACTGCTCTTCCAAAGGTCCTGAGTTCAATTCCCAGCAACCACATGGTGGCTCACAACCATCTGTAATGAGATCTGGTGCCCTCCTCTGACAAGCAAGCATACATGGAAGGAATGTTGTATACATAATAAATAAATCTTTAAAAAAAAAAAAAAAAAAAAGAAATCTGGAAAAAAAAAAACAGGTAGGCCTAGAAGGTGCCAGGACCAAGAAGCACAGGGAGTGCAGCTGGTTAGGGGTTCAGTGTGCCTCTCAGCCACACGGTACCTTGTCTTTGACACTGTGGTCACAGCCAGAGCCCACGAGGAAGTCCAAAGCATCCAGCTGTCCATGCTCCGCAGCTCTGTGAAATGCTGTTCTTCCCAGCTGACCAGAAGGCAAGAGCCAGTGAGCCTCCGCAGGCTGCCCGTGCACACACCGCCCCTGCCCGCGGGCCTGGGCTTTCCTCGCCTCTTGCGCCCCATCCTCCCTGTCACTGGGCCCCAGGTTCTGAACAGCAGCCCCTTTGTTGGGAGGAGACCCAACTCCGGCCACAGTTCCTCAGTGGCTCCCTGCTGCCAGTCATATGAAGAGAGAATCCTCAGGTTTGAGACAGAGCTCCATGGGGATCCCCTGCCCTTTGGACTTCCCCTCTCATGATTCTGGTCTGCCAGAAATCACACACTCAGAACTCTTTCCTGCCCTTGAAGTTCCAGGATGCTTTCCACGCCTTTCCAATTACTCTCCCTCCCTAACCGCCCCCTCCCTTCTCTGGGAAACAGAGACAGGCTCTTTTCTCTAACCTGTCTAGTCCTTGATGGAGGGGAGAGCCAGCCACGTTCTGATTTCATCCTGCCCGTCTGTATACCTGCCATGTCTCCTCCGGGAATGCTCAGGGTAGAATAGTTTTCCTAGCTGATCTAAGAATGGATCCAGGTGTGCAGTGTCCCTAGTAGAGCCTGAGCCAATAAGACACATCCAAAGAGTGTCCCAACTGACAGGGTACATACACCCAGTGAAGTACCAGCCAATGGGAGAGTTGAATAGGTTTGCATGGGTGATACCTTGTCTGCATGGTCCAAGGCCACATCCTCCAGGTCTTCCATGACAAAGGCCAGCACAGGCATGTGTCCTTTCTGAGCCGCACAGTGCAGTAAGGTCAGACCATCCTGGAAACAAGCCAGTGGGGAGGAGGGGAGGCTGGAGTCTGAGAAGGGCCCCTCTTATACACTGCCTGTTTCCCGGCATATAGTTGCCATGGTAACAATGCTGTCAATGGTGAAGAGAGCCTATGCATGACCCAGGGAGGCAGCCACCAATCAGGATGCTAGAAGCTAAAAGCCTGGCTCCACGCTCATCAACTCTGGTTTGGGACCCATTGCTTTCACCTCTCTGAGTTTGCAATTACACACAGATTGCCTCAGTCTTTGCCAAGTCAGAGCATAGGAAAAGTATTTAAGTGTCTCTAGCTGGCCTGGAACTTGCTATGTAGACAGGCTGACCTTGAACACATAGAAATCCTCCTGCCTCTGCCTCTGCCTCCTGAATGTTGGGATTACAGGTGTGCGCCACCAAACAGTTTGATTCCAAACTGTAAGCTGACAAAGCACTTGCAGCCCCAAGAACATCCCACAGAGCAGTGTGTAAGGAACAGGGCTGGAGAGATGGCTTGGCAGGCTGCTCTTCCAGAGGACCTGGGTTCAAGTCCCAGCACTCACATCAAATGGCTCACAAAGGCTTATCACTCCAGTTCCAGGGCCTCTTAGGGTATCTAAATGCATGTGGTACGAATAATCTCTCTCTCTCTGTCTCTGTCTCTCTCTTTCACACACACACTCACATTTGTAAAAATGGATAAAAAATGAAGCCAGCAACTGAGCGTTCAGTGTACAGTCACTAAGACCTGACCTCCCAGGGTGAAAAAGGCCAGATGTGCACCCCTGGATCTGGAGTCAAGAGGTCTTTGAAAGGGAAGGGGAGGTAGGAAGAGAGAGGTCCCTCAAGGGATATTTAAATGACCCAGAACTTCTGCCCCTGCCACATTAAGGTTGGAGTCCCTGGGCACTGTTTTTCTTTTTTAAAAATATTTTTAGAGATGAGCCAGGCGGGAGAGATGGCTTAGCAGTTAGGAGCACTTATTGCTCTTGCAGAGGACCCAGTTCCCAGTACCAGTACCCACATGGTAGTTCACAGCCATGCCTAACTCCAGTTCCAGGGGATTCAAAAGGCACATGTTGTACACATACATTCACACAGGCAAAACATTTATACACATAAAGTAAAGTTTTTTTTTTTTAAGAAATGTGTGTGTGTGTTCTGCCCCGCCCTTCCTTCCCTCAAAGGCCAGAAAAGGCTGAGATCCCCCTGGATCTGAAGTTATAGTTAGTTATGAGCTTGGGTCAGAGAGCGCTCGTAACCATGGAGCCATCTCTCGGGGGGCCCCCTGGAACACTGTTTTCCAGTGCTCACCAACCATTGATGCAGCCTAAGAATCGGCAGAACACTGGTCTACATCTTGATAGCTGTGAGCTCAGTGAGTCTGACTTTGAGGTCTGTGGCTTTTGCTGTAAGTAAACTCTAGATAATGATAAGTGTGCCGAAGTAATTAGAGGGTGATAAACAACGCTCAAAATTCACGCTGAGTGTATCCAAAATATGTAAAAACCCCAAAAAGCTCATCAGTGAGAAATTCACCAACTAAAGTACTTTAGAAAAATGCCAGGTATGACACATGACTATAGTCCTTCTCGCTACTCAAGAGGCTGGTGGGGAGGACCACCTGAGACCAGGAGTTAAGGGCTAGCCTGGGCAATACAGCAAGACACCCCTCTCAATAAACAGCCTAGGGTAGCCTCACATTTGCTGTGCAGTCAAGAATAACTTTGACCTTCTTGCCCTTCACCACCAGAGTGACTACTATACTTAATTTATGTAGTGCTGGGGACCAAACCCAGGGTCTCGTGAATTCTACCAACTAAGCTACATCCCCAGGCCTGTCCTTACTATTTTGTTGTCCCAAGGAAGCCACATAGAATGTCTAGGCTGGCTTCTGTGAGCCACTGGAGAAACTAAGGACATTATCCTAGATGTCCCAACTCTCCGTGCAACTCTGTAGGGTTACAGTCCAGTCGACTCAAGCCTACCTCATGGGTTAACCTGGGCAAAGCAAGAGGGATGGCCTAGCCAGCCACGGAGCTATGAACAATATCAGCAAGGCACTGAGGAGGCTGAGGCAGGAGGATAACAAGTTCAAGAACATGGAGGACTTGTTCTTGTATGTAGTAAGACCCTTCCTCAAACTAAAAAAAGAAAATGATCCCAGGCACATTGATGCCTATAATCCACTTCAGAGACTGAGGCAGGAGAATTGCATCGAGGTCACACTGGGCTACACAGTGGGCTCCAGGTGAGCCTGGTTTGCAGAGTAAGACCCTGTCTACACAACCAAAAGATGAAAGGGGGCGGGGAGGAGGTAATAAAGAAAAAGAGTAAGTCCTAGTTATTTTAACTAAAGTCCAGTTACACTGGTCACTAAATTTTAGAGTGTTTTGCTGCAAAGATCATAAAACAGGGGCGATCTAAGTGGAAACCATTTAAGTTGAGAAATCTAAACTGGGGCTTGGATAGACGACTCGGTGGGCAGAGCCACTTGCAGCCTGACAGTCTGAGTTTGATCCCCAGGTACTACACAGTGGAAGAACAGAAACAGCTTCTGCAAGTTGTACACACACACACACACACACACACACACACATGCAAGCACGTGCATACACACACACATGCACGCACGCACGCATGCATACGCGTGCACATGCGCACACACAGTAAAAATAATTTTTAAAATTAAAGAATGCCTAAAATGGGTGGACAAGGGCACTTTTTTTCTAGAGGCTTGGAGCGAAGGTTAGGTTATGGTTACTGGAGTTCCAGATGGTTGCAAACTGCCATGTGGGTGCTGGGACCCGAACTCCAGCCTCCCTCTGCCTCTCTCTTTTCCTGTGTGAACTCCTATGATCACAGGGGCCCATGTGGATAACTCAGAAAAAAAAATCTTCTCATTTCAACATCTATTATCTTATTTTTGCAAAATTCCTTTTGTCATCTTAGATTCTGGGGGTTCCTAAGGAAGACCTCCAGCCTCAGCGCATCTTCCCAACTGCCCTGTAGGGTGTTGGGCAACCCTGTCTGTAAATACGGAAATCAGTTGGCCAGACAGCTGGAGAATTTCCACCCGAGAGCAGGGAGGGCTGGAACAACCAAATGAGAGACAATTGTCTGATGAAAATATTCCCGCCCTTTCTCTATCTAGCCTAGGAGGGGCTTCCAAGGGCTCAGCTCAGCGGGGCTGCAAGGTTCCAGGGGGCAGGCACACTGCCAGTGGCAGAAGCAGGTGGGAGACGAGGGGAGGCAGAGAGGGGGCTAGGGGAAAAGCTGGGGGGGGTGCGGGGCTGCCAGCTGAGACCTTACCTTGCTCTCACAGTGGACCTTGGCCCCAGCGTTGACGAGAATCCGCACGATCTGCAAGTGGCCGAACCAGGCAGACAGGAGAAGTGCATTCATCCCAAACTAGGGGAGAGGACAGAGGGAAGGGAGGAGAAAGGGAGGAGACAGAGGAGTGGCTGTGTCCACATGGCCAAGCCATTCATCTTATAGGTGCCCCTCAGTCCGAAGAGCCCCAAGCTCTAGGCACTTAAAAGTCAGAAACTTTTGCTGGCTTTTTAAAAGACGTATTTATTTTGTTTTATATTTATAGATATTTAAAGGGGTTTTGCTATGTATGTGTAAGTGCATCACATGTGTGCTGGTGCGGGGTTTTGCTATGTACGTGTAAGTGCATCCATTACATGTGTGCTGGTGCGGGGTTTTGCTATGTATATGTAAGTGCATCCGTCACATGTGTGCTGGTGCCAGAGGAGGCCGGAAGAACATGACAGTTTCCCTGAAACTGGAGTATGGATGGTTGTGAGCCACCATGTGGATTCTGAGAATCAAATGTGGGTCCTCTGCAAGAGTAACAAGCGCTCTAAACCACCCAGCCATCTCTGCAATTCTAGGTTTGCTAGTTTGTTTTGTTTTGCTGCACAGGGTTCTCTGTTTATCTCTGGCTGTCCTGGAACTCTTTCCTTAGACCAGGCTGGCCTTGAACTCACAGAGATCCAGGCTGATAAACTGTTGGAAACTTTATTTTGCTAGATGAAACCTAAAATTAAAATAGCTGCCATCTACTCTCATTGCTACTTCCATAGAAGGACCATTTAAAAGAAACCAGTTGGAGGGAAGAGATCTCAGGTTTGCTTGGCTGTCGTTGTTGTTGCTGTTGCTTTGAGACAGGTTCACACGTAGCCCAGGCTGGCCTCAAGCTATGTAGCTAAAGATGACTTTGGACTCCTGATCCTCCTGCCTCCACCGCCCAAATGCTGCTAACATAGCTGTTTGTCACCACGTCCAGCTTGCATTTATTGTACATGCGTGCAGTGGAGAGCGTGTGTAGGCTGAAAGAGAACCTTATACTTAGCTCTTTCCTTCCACCTTCTTGTGGCATTCCAAAGAATGATTGATTTAGGTTACCAGGCTGCACAGCCCACTAAGTCATCTCACCTGCCTTTGTTTGTTTGTTTGTTTGTTTGAATAGGGTTTCACTGTTTAGCCCTGACTGGTCTGGAACTCACTATGTAGACCAGGCTGGCTTCAAACGCACAGAGGTCGTCTGCTTCCGCCTCATAAATGTTGGGATTAAAGGCGTGCGACACAACACCCGGTGGTGTTTAGTTAGTGAGTTAGTTTAAAGTTAGCTTGGGCACTGGGCATGTAACTCAGCTGGTAAAGAGCTTGCCTCGCACGTATGAGGTCCGGGCTGTAATCCTCGGCACCTCATAAACTGGACACCTGGAGTCCCAGCCCTATAGAGTGCTCAGGGAATGGAGGCAGCAAACAGAAGTTCATGGTCATTCTTGAGTTTGGGGCCAGCTTGGATTCCCCAAGAGCCTCTCTCTATGGTTTCCTCTTTCTTTCTTTATTCCTTCATCCCCACCCCCATGCTGAGGATAAAACCCAGGACCTCGTGTGTGCTAGACAGCCACTCCACAGCCGAGCCACATCTCCAGCCCTAAGTATCCATTGTTAAGTATATCCGTACCAAATGGCGCTGCCAGATTCAGTCCTTCTAAACCTGTGGCAGCAATTCTGCAGATCCTGTCTTAGGGCTCCCTCCCCTTCAAGCAGAGCGCCATTTACTGATCTGCCCAATCTGCCCCAGGACAGTTTCTTAGGTGCTGACCAGGGCAGAGTCCCACAGCCTATCACAGGAGACCCTCTTCTTGGCCCCTTTGCTAAATGGGCCCTCATTGATCCACGTGACTGTTTGCTCTATGACTGGTAAAGTCTCCCTCATCACGTAGTATGGTGAAGGACTGAAAACGTTCCCAGAACTGAAAGGCCATTGATAATAGAGAGCACTTTCTTCCCGCGCCAGGGAAAAGGAATGGGACAAAGTCTCACCAACTCCTAAGACCGACTTGGGCCCAGGCTGTACCTAAGCATCTGCATGTCAGTGGCAATCTCACCAATGACAACTTGTTCAGAGGCCAGACAGAATGAGGGATGTCCTTGCTCCCGAGACAGGAAGACAGGTGCGTGTCACACAGAACTCCTTACCGAGTCCACGTCGTCCACAGCGGCCCCATGCTCCAGGAGCAGCCGCACAGCCTGCTCATGCCCAGCACCTGCAGCCCAGTGCAGGGCCACTCTCCCCACCTGCCAGGAGGAGAGGGAACTTGTCATTCCACCCTGCCTGGCTGGCCCCCAGCATCCTCCCTACAGAGACAGCTGGCCTGCAGGGAGGAAGGGCTTTTGGTGGCTCTGGTGACCAGCTGGTGGGGAATCCAGCCCTTCTTGGGGTCCCTTTTCTCTGGTATGGTACAGTCAAAACAAATATAAGATACACTGACTGGACCCATCTGTCCCTGCCTGAAACTCTTCATGGCTCCCCGCTGCTCTTGGGGCAAACGCCTGAACCTGAGCCTACAAGCCCTTGTGTGGCCTGGCACTGCCCCCATTGCTTCTCAGAGAGGCCAGATGGTTCCCAGCTCCAAATCTTTCTTCCTACTGGGAAGCCACATGTGACCTAAGACAGCTCTCAGTGTCCCCAAGGGAGACCGAGTGTCTGGTTCTACCCTCACAATGAGCCGAAAGGGCCTGACCGTCTGGTTCGCTCTCCACCACCCTGGGAGTTTATCCTGGTTTCTGGCTCTCTGTCCATCTGAGCAGACTGGGCCACCAGCCTCCTCTGGATAGCCCACCTCTCTGCTGTCTCAGTTCATGAGAGGCAGCCAAGGGAACACTACTTTTCAGTGTAATATCTGGACGCCAGCTCTCTCCTCTCGGGGCTTCTGCCACACCATCCCCTCTACCTGGAACACTGCTCTTTGCCTCACTCCAGCTCACCCCGTGGAAGCTTTTCCGGGACACCTCCAGGTGGAAGAAAGCCCCTTGGTCCCCTCCCTGTACTGTGGGAATGAGACAGTTAGCTTGTGGGCTTTGCTGGGACCACAGCTGTCATGGGTTCTGCTCTGTTTTCCAGCAACTAGCATAGGATATGTTCTTAATAAATTCTTAGTGAATGAATGAATAAACCAGTGTTCATGAAGGAATACACTTAATGAATGAATGAAGACATCAGTGAGTATGCATGTAAACATAATTTGTGGATGGATGGATGGATGGATGGATGGATGGATGGATGGATGGATGGACGGACAGACGGACAAACGGATGGATGGGCAAACAGACAAAGCACTATCATACTACTAGGCCATGCTTCCCTGCAGGTACTTACTTGTTCAGGAACTGAGACCAAAGCTTCAGTTAGCAAGCACGTGCTGTGTGACCTGAAGTGACCTGCCTCTGCCCCACTATAGCCTTGAACTATACACAGGGCCAGTACTTTCTACTCTCCTCAGCTCTCCAGGGCTAAATGTCAGCCACCAAGAAGTGGTTGCTGAGTGCTATGAAGACCAGAACACACCAGACACACTTATAATTCTTGTTACTATTCCCGCACCGCCCGAGCTGGTGCTGAAAACTGTCCTCTAGACGGGGGACCTTCTGCTGCAATCGAGGGTCCTGCATCCAATGCCTGGTAATCAAGCCTTAGTATAGCATCCAAGAAGTTCCTCCGAGCCAGAAGTTCTGAGTCAGAGAGGGGTCACCCTGCATGGTATCCGGGCCTGTCTTCAGTATCCACTTAGAAGACACGCTTCTTCCTCTATGCCCATCCCCAGCAGGGGACCCTGCTTCCCTGTCTGATTATTGGACTCTCAGCGTGGGCCTGTGCCTCCTGCAGCTTTTTACACAAGCAGGGATGGCTTGTTAAGAGAGCTGAACTCAACTGCTCACATTCATTCCCCAGTGTCTGGAGTCTGGTCCTCCGTGGTCCCCAGAATCCTGCCCATATGTACCTCCCCACCTTTGTTTCTTAGATAGGCCTTCCAGATGGGCCCCACAGGCTCAAAGTCTGAGCTCTGGACTTGCCAAAGCCTGGATTGGGATCCTGACCCTTAGGCCAGCTCCAGCGATGAAGACAGAACATGGGCCTCCCCCTCTGCCAGGTCAGTGCACACAAACACACCTTCTCAGACGCAGTGACTTGTCCCATTGGAGGCAGCACCGTTCTGTACTTGTACTTACGTGGTTCCTAGCCCTGATGTTAACCCTCTTCTCAAACAGTTCCTTCATCCTCCCCACCTGATTCCAGCGTGAGGCCTCATGGAGCTGTCTCTCCAGGGGAAGCACTGGGGAGCAAGAGGGATTCCCGGTGAGAGGAAGGGAACACGCACTTGGGGATGCACTTGGGGAAGGGTGGAATTCATTCCCAGTGGAGCCAGTGACCACCTCGCTAAAATCTACTCAGTGTAGAAGACAGTGAGGAGTTAGTGGGCCAGAGGTGGGATGTCCCACTTTTAGACCTTCCTATCCCTTATTTTTCTGTCTCCTCTCTCCTCGCCCTAAATTCTAAACCTTTTCATCTCCACGTCTAGGGCCCATTCCACTTTGCCCAGATGAAGGCTTCTCTCTCCTTCCTCAAAGCACCCTCAGGGCACGGGGAGAAGGCTTAGGTAAAGTGAGTGATCTGGCAAGAGTTCAGATCCCTAGAACCCAATTTAAAAGAAAAAAAAAAAACAGGACTGGCAAGATGGGTCAGAGGGGAAAGGTTCTTGCTGCTAAGCCTGATCCCAGGACCTCCATGATAGAGGGAGGGAATTTTCTCCTGCAAGCTGCCCTTTGGCATCCACTTGAGCACCATGGCACACGCACACACACACACACACACACAAATAAATAAATAAATAAATAGATATGTAGGTTAAAAGATGGGTCAACAGGTAAAGAGCACTTACTGCTCCTTCAGAGGATCTGAGTTCAATTCCCAGTACCTATGTTGGGCCACTTACAACTGCCTGTCTGTCACTCTAGCTTAAGGGGATCAACGCTCTCTTGCCACCTCTGCAGGAACCCACCCATGCACACACAGGCACACACACGCACACACAAGAAAACAAAAAGAGGGGGCTGGAGAGATGGCTCAGAGGTTAAGAGCATTGCCTGCCCTTCCAAAGGTCCTGAGTTCAATTCCCAGCAACCACATGGTGGCTCACAACCACCTGCAATGAGGTCTGGTTCCCTCTTCTGGCCTGAAGGCATACACACAGACAGAATATTGTATACATAATAAATAAATAGATAAATAATAAATATAAAAAAATAAAACAAAAAGAAAGTCTAAAAGGGAGGAGGGTAGTGAAACGGCTCAGTCGATAAGGCCATTTGCCACCAAGCCTGACAATCCCCAAGACCCACATAACGAGAGGAAAGAACTGACTCTATGAAGTTGTCCTCTGACAACCACAGGCACACCACACACACACACACACACACACACACACACACACACACACACACACACAAATAAATAAATATAAAAGGAAGCTCAAGCTGGCCCAGAAGGTGAAGGGTTTGCCAAGCAAGCCTGTTGACATGAGTTTGATTCCCGGAGCCCATGTGAAGAACCAAATACATCTGTAATTTTGTCACTAGAAAGGGGACAGAAACAGGAGAGTTGCCCAGAAGTTTGAAGGCCAGCTAGTTTGGAGTATGCACCACAGTTTGGCAGAAACAGCAAGAGAGATGCTGCCTCAAAACAAGGTGGAAAACAGAAAACAACAAACAAACAGAAAACAAGGCAGAAGGAGAGAGTCGACTCCTGACACTTGTCCTCTGACTGTCACACATGAACATTTGGGCACCCAGGGACAGATGCTAGCATCTCAGCAGGGCCAGCAAGCTCGGAAGTGACAACCTTAAGAATGAAACCTTATCTGTTCCATCACTCCACCCCACACATTTCCAGCTTCAGTAACGCACACCAGGCTCTCTGACATCTGAGCATTTATCAGCGCTGGGTTCTCGGCCCCGAATCTCTCAACACACCCTCAACACTTCAGTATTCTCTTCTTTGACCCCAGCAGAAAGCTGTGGTCGGGGCTGGAGAGATGGCTCAGAGGTTAAGAGCACTGACTGCTCTTCCAGAGGTCCTGAGTTCAATTCCCAGCAACCACATGTTGGCTCACAACCTTCTGTACTGAGATCTGGTGCCCTCTTCTGGTGTGTGGGAAGCAGAATGTTGTACACATAATAAATAAATTTAAAAAAAAAAGATGTGATCACTCTGAAATAACCAGCTCTTTGCTGGGTGCTATGACACACACCCGTGCATTCCATGGCAGCCTCAGCTGCTTAGCAAGTTGAAATCCAGCCTGGGCTACGCAGCCTGGGCTACCTGTGTCATAAAGGTGGGTGTGGGGAGATGACCTGGAGAGATGGCAGCTGTTGCTCTTACAGAGCCCTTGAGTTCAATTCCCAGTACCCACATCTGGTGGTTAGCAACTGCCTATAACTCCAGGTCCTGGAAACCTGACGCTCCCTTCTGGCTTCATCTTCAGGTTACACACAAGCACACGCAAGCATGCATACACGTTAATGCATGTGCACACGCGCGCGTGCACACACATACACACACACACACAAAGATAATAAAGTAAGGCACATGCTTTTAAACCCAGCACTCAGAGACGGTGGTAGGCAAAAGTACAGCCTGGTCTACATAGTGAGCTCCAGGACAGCCAGGAATACACAGAGAGAATCTGTCTCCAAAATTTAATTAATTAATTAAAAAGTAAAAGTCTTAAAAGCAACACTTATGCCTAGTGGCGCCCAGCACCCATTTCTCATTCATCTGGGCAGACAGTAACAGCTGGCTTCGGCATGTTGAAATCCAGTGGGCAGGACTGGGGGTTGGAGAATGCACTCTGGGATCAGAGGTCAGGGTTCAGCCCAGGCAGCCTCGGAGGAGACAGTGCCACAGTCTTTTCTCCTCTCCCAGGCAGAGCACCAAAGGGCTCCCAGGAGAGCAGATGGCCACAGGTATGCTGTCCACACACCTAGGGGGCCTGGCGCTGGGTACATTCTGAAAGCAGTTCTGAAGTTCCTCATTTCACTCAGGGGTGGAGCTGACCACAGCCCCTCTTTTCTAGGTCCTGGTTCCTCCTGTGATGTGCTGTCTACAGTCCATTTTATTATAGGTGAACTGGGGTCTTTAGGTTTTCGTTTTGTCGTTGGGGGTGGTGGTAGGGGCGGTGGGGTTGACAGGGTCTCATGTAGCCCAGGCTGGCTTTGAACTCCCTATGTAGCCAAGGATGGAAGATGATGTTGAATTCCTGATCCTCCTGCCTCCACTTCCCTAGTACTAGGATTACAGATGTGTGCCTCCGTGCCTGGTTCACATGGTGTGTGAGATGGAACCCACGGCCTTGCACGTATTAAACAAACATTGCACCTGCTGAACTGCGCCCCATGCCTGATTTCAGCATTTCTACTACTATACAGTCATGTGACCTCATCCTGTCCCTCAGCTTTCTCATCTGAAAAATGGAGATGACAGTAGGCCCTACCCACATAGTCGCAAAGGTAGAAGACCAGCCTGACCTGCGCCTCAAAGCCAGGCACACAAAGCAAGATATTAACAAGGATCGCCGTCACCCCTGGCTTGCCCCGCCCAGGACACACAGAGTCCCAGATGTGCGGCTACTGTCCCCTGTGCATCGTTCCTCCCGGAGTCACAGAGAAGCCCGAGGTGACCCACAGAGACGGAGGTGGCCATGTGAAGGGCCAGCCTCTCCCTGGGCCGCCCTCTGTGAACGTGGCCTCTGGCCCCCACCATGTCCACCCGCCCTCGGCACCGGGACTCACAGCCGTGGGTCTCCCAAACCAGCTCCTCCTCCATTCCGCTGCTCTGCTCCTGCTGGGCGCGTAGCTGCCTGGGGCTAGGAGTGCACGGAGCCGGGAGCGCGCAGGGGGCGGGGGGAGTGGGCGGCAGAGGTTCTCCGTAGATCCCGCCCCGCTGTCAGCCCAGTTGTGAGTCTACTCTGCACACCCATATCCCACCTTCAGCTCCCACTCCCGCGCCTTCAAGCTGCCCTAAGTCCCCTGCGTGCAACTCCTCTGGGACCCTCCCAGCCTTGATGTCTGTCGCAACAGCACTCTGGACTCTTCAGACCCCGCTACCCCACCAAGCCTGTGGGCATAAGACAAGAGTCGTTAGGTGTATTCACGATCAGAGAAAAAAAAAACAGGTTACAGCGACAAGGGGTATCAATTACATCACTTAACTTGGCCAAAAACTAAAAGCAAACAAACAACGACAACAACAGCAACAAAACACCAAGAAAGCTGACCAAGGCCAGATGTCAGGGCAGAAGGTGCAGTTGTTCCAGCCAAGTGTGCTCTGCTGGGGGCAGCAGCCAGAGGCTGACATTCTGGAATCCAGTCTGGCAATAAGGGGGAAATACTTCACCAGATGGAAGAAAAATAAATCAAAGCTAAACAAAATCAATAAAATTAACGTTGTAAAAATTCCTCCAGCAAAATGAACCATCCTCTGCGCTGTCTAAGAAACTGCTATTCCTTTCTGTGTGAACTGGATCTCCAACCCTTCCTCCCCAGCGGGCTAGATGCTGGAAGTGTCATATTCCCAGCGTTAATGGCGCCACCCTCCTTCACTTCACCTCGCAGTGGCCTTTAACTGCTACAGCATGGTCACAATCTTACAATTCTGTGACTAGGCCCACTGCTCCCCACTTTGAGCCCATTTCTCTGTAATTTCATGCTCAAAAGAAACAAAAGAAGTTTTTTTCTTCTTTCTTTATTGGTGTTTGGTGGGTGTATTTTGTTTTCTTTTGAGATCAAATCTAGCTATGTTGCCCAGATTGGTCTCCAACACATGGCCTTGTGTGATCTCTCACTCAGTTTCCCTCCGGAGACAAGCGTGTGTAGTCTCTCTGACAACCCCGCAGGATCCTGATACCCTGGAGCCATCCATTGTCTTCCCCAGAAGCCCAGAAGCTCACACCAGTTAAACCTTTGAGTGTGGCAGTATTTTACTCTGAGTTCTTTCATGACCCCTCCTCCTTGCTTCTCTTTGTGCCGTTTTGTTTCCTGTTAGATGAACGGAAGGGGAAAAGGGACAGGGGGCGAGGGAAAGTGAAATTCAAATCTAGGGGATGTTAGACGGCCCCCTGATGGGAGCCCGGATGCAGATGTTTGCAGTTCCACTGTTCACGTGACGTTTGGACACTGTCCAGATGTCTCTGGATTTTCGTCCCACCCTGCCCTTGCTGGAGGGAATGCTCTGACTCGTGATGTGTGACCAGAAGATTTATCCCAGCCTCAAAGGACTACTCAGAATGGCCCCTAGGGACCTCAAGTGCTAGGCTTTGGGGTTTCCCTCTCGAACAGATGAATTAAAGACAAATGAATGGTTTGGGGGTGCTGAGACAAGGTCTCTGTATGGAGAAGGGTGATTTTTGCACTGTCCTGCTGTTTAGAACAGATCAAATCTACAGAAGAGATAAAAGAATAGTATCACACATGAACACTTCCCACATTTCAGGTCTAAGGTTATTTTTAATTAAAAGGTTATTTTAGGGCTGGAAAGATGGCTCAGTGGTTAAGAGCATCGTCTGCTCTTCCAAAGGTCCCGAGTTCAATTCCCAGCAACCACATGGTGGCTCACAACCATCTATAATGATGTCTGGTGCCCTCTTCTGGCCTCCAGGCATACATGCAGACAAAATATTGTATACATAATAAATAAATTTAAAAAAAAGGTTATTTTATATATGACTATATCTCTGCATGTGGGTAGGTGTGTGTGTGTGTGTGTGTGTGTGTGTGTGTGTGTGTGTGTGTGTGACAT